TGGCTTAAGTCTTGGATATGGTGGCTTAAATTCACACCAGGGGGGCCAGCAAATGGAACAGTGGTTACGTTGCTAGACTCCCACATGGCCAACTATAGCTCAAGTTCTAGACCTGGTAGCTTAAAAATCACACCCGGCATGTATGCGTGTGTGCATGCGTGCCCAAGATCCTGGGAAAAAAAATGGAGAAAGGATTGCCATCTCCCCTGGGGGTGATTTCTCACTTTCCCTCTCACTGTCTCTGTCTCTCTCTGGCAAGCACAAGCCCCTAAGGCAAAAACTTCTAAAAACCAAAATATACCAGATGCATGTATGGTCTGAGGAGAATAGAGAAGGGATGGTGGAATGTCCATCTACCCTGGGGCGGTGGTGGGGTGGGGTGGGGGCTGATTTCTCACTTTCCTTCTCCTATTTCTCTCCAACCGGTGCATGCACCCTATGGCAAAAACCTTTAAAAAAAAAATTAGAAAAATAAAAAGTTTAGGGTTTTTGGTTTTTTGTTTCTGGGAATTTTTTTTTTAAAAAAAGGATTTTCCTAAGTTACCTTTCCTCCTGCCTCAGCCTCCCAGTTCCGACTTTTAATGTATGCCCCCATGCCTGGCTTTGTATTAGACTGGGTGTCCATTTTGCCCAGGCCATCTTTGGGCGCTCAATCCTTCTGCTTTAGGCTCTTTGAGTTGCTGGGATCACAGGTACATGCCAAGGCACCTGGGCATTGGGTTGAAATGGAAATTGAACCCAGGCCTTCCATGTGGTCTCAGCCTGAGCATCATCACAGCATCTTAGGAGCATGTGCCACTGTTCAGGCAACACTGACATGTTTTATTTAATGGTACAGGTCAATAGTTAGTTAGAATGTGCCTCAATTTGCTTTTTTCTGGTTGTTTGTGATGGATTCAGTCTGTACATTTTTGAAAGGGATACTACATAAGAAATAATTTATATTTCTCAGTACTTCACAGCAAGTCATGTCATTTATCCCATAATTGGTGACATTAACTTTGATCATTTAGTTAGGGTGATCTCTATCAGATTCCAAAACTGTAAAAGTACTTTTGTTAACCCTTAAGAATGAATGAAAAAATCTAAAATACTTCAAAAGTAAGTAAATATCCTGTTCTTTAGCCAACTTTCACTCAATAGTTATAAAATCTATTGATAATTCTTATTACTATAATGGTGGCAAAATGGTGACTTCCTAATTTCATCAGTTCTACATGTATTACTTGGCATTCCATTGTCAAGAGCTTTTGTCTCTCCTCCCTTATGTTTATTTACTTAAAAGTTTAAGAGTAAATATGCTGTCCTGATTTTTTTAAATTAAATGTTATAACCTGTTCCCATCTTTATTCATTCTTAATGCTCAAACTGTCTCAGATTTGGTCGAGGGCGGGGGTACCTTCAAGCTGTCTCCTTTTTTCTTTTGATATATCCTGACTGACATATCCAAGAAATCTTGCTTTCTGGCAAATCTTTCAAAAGGGCATTTTATACTTTCCTCCGCTCTGCCCTGAAATCAGTCATTTCGTCAAGGAGTCTGTTCCTTTTTAATGAAGAATGGTATTTAGAAACCAAGACCTGGCGACACGTAAGACATTACAAAATATTAAAACGTCCCTGTTCCTGTTTCCCCGGTCATCATATGGAAGACAGGTGCGGTTCATAAATGAACCCTACCTAGCGTTACCTGTGTGACCTTAGCAATTCCCTCCATCCCTTGCAGCCTACCTCTTCTTCTGAAAATAAACTGGACTAGCTATTTAACCTTTTCAGGGTCACCAACACGTTTGGGAATCTGATAGAAGCTATGGTTCCATCTTCCCCAGAGACACGCTCAAAAAAGAAAAGGAAACAAAAAAAAATTCATGGAGTTCCAGTCTCCAAAGCCCGGCTGAGGCTCCAAATCCCTGGGATAAGTGACCTCCAGGGTCCCTTCAGCGCTGACGCTCTGCGAGTGTGCGCGCGCCCGCGCCGCTGTCAGAATGCGTCCTCGCAGGCACCGACATGTGCGGGATTTATATAGCCACGACGGGAAAAGGACACAAAGGAAGGAGCCAGTGAGCAATGCGTTGCTCAGCCACAGTTCCCTGCCAGAGCCAAATTTAGGGCGCACCGTACTGTGAGGTGAGAGGTTTTGGCGGGAAGGTCCCGGGTGGGCGGAGAACGCTGAGGTGGAGAAGGAGACCACCGCCGAAGCAGGTCGCTGCAGCCCTCTGCAAGGCCCGCCAGGGCTCGCTCTTGCCCTTCGGCGAGGAGGCCGAGGAGCGGGGCGGGCCGGGCGGCGACCCCGCCCCCGCCAGCCAGGAGACGGAGGAGG